GGGGGGGGGGGGGGGGGGAGAGGGAATTCATGCAAAAAAAAAAGACCATTGGGAGCCCATTGCTTTGTTAACACAATGGCAACCCTACATCGACATATTTGGTATCGCTCGATAGCTTGACATATGTATTTCTTTATTGGCATCGCCCACTAAAGTTTCCAGACGTAAGCTTTGAAAGAAATCTTTGGTCCGCTACACCAGCGGTTCCCAACCTGTACAAACTTTTTAGTATAAATTTAGACTAAGCAACTCCATCATTTATCAATGTATATCTCATTTGAGCAAATATCACAGCTACGCATCTTCCCACCTACCCATCTTACCATCTTCAAAGGTGCATTATGGTGACCCCCCTCTCCCATGCTGTCATGCAAATCCTCAATGTGTATGTAACATATGAATGGCCCCTAAGGTTGACTGGGGGCGGGATGGGGGGTGTGAAAATTTGATTTTTGTATATTGGTTGAGTCACACATTGGTTGGTTCACACATTGGTTGGTTCACATATTGGTTGGTTCACATATTGGTTGGTTCACATATTGGTTGGTTCACATATTGGTTGGGTCACATATTGATTGGGTCACATATTGGTTGGTTCACATATTGGTTGTGCCACTTATTGGTTGGGTCACACATTGGTTGGTTCACACATTGGTTGTGTCACACATTGGTTGGATCATATATTGGTTGGTTCACACATTGGTTGGTTCACACATTGGTTGTGTCATACATTGATTGTGTCAGTTATTGGTTGGGTCATACATTGGCTGGATCACACAGTGGTTGGTTTACACATTGGTTGGGTCACACATTGGTTGGGTCACACATTGGTTGGGTCACACATTGGTTGGGTCACACATTGGTTGGGTCACACATTGGTTGGGTCATACATTGGTTGGGTCACACATTGGTTGGTTCATACATTGGCTGGGTCATACATTGGTTGGGTCACACATTGGTTGGGTCATACATTGGCTGGGTCATACATTGGTTGGGTCACATATTGGTTGGGTCACACATTGGTTGGGTCACACATTGGTGGGGTCACACATTGGTTGGGTCATACATTGGCTGGATTACACAGTGGTTGGTTTACACATTGGTTGGGTCACACATTGGTTGGGTCACACATTGGTTGGGTCATACATTGGTTGGGTTACACAGTGGTTGGTTTACACATTGGTTGGGTCACACATTGGTTGGGTCACACATTGGTTGGGTCACACATTGGTTGGGTCACACATTGGTTGGGTCACACATTGGTTGGGTCACACATTGGTTGGTGACATATTGGTGTGGTCACACATTGGTTGGGTCACACATTGGTTGGGTCACACATTGGTTGGTTCACACATTGGTTGGTTTACACATTGGTTGGTTCACACATTGGTTGGTTCATACATTGGTTGGTTCACACATTGGTTGGTGACATATTGGTGTGGTCACACATTGGTTGGGTCACACATTGGTTGGGTCACACATTGGTTGGGTCACACATTGGTTGGGTCACATTATAGTATGTACTATAAAAGCAAGTGTATTGATCTATATCGCAATCAACCACACAGAAAAGAAGACCACCTCCTGTCGACCCAGAAACTTGAAACTTAACACTTTTCAGCATGTCAGAGGCAGTCAAGCTCACCAGTAAAATTGAAAATTCTTTACCACCCCCACCCCCTCACCCCTCGTCCCCGGCTCACATCTAGGGGGTTTCTTACAAGTTACAGCTACTAAACGATTTTAATATTTTTAAACGTATCAGAGAGGGGGCGTTAGGGGGTGTCAGGGGGTGTCAGGGGGGTGTCAGGGGGGTGTTGATTGC